AGGATTTCCGAAAATCTCGGTTTCTTGAAAATCTTCAAGGGATTTACTGGATTTCCAATCTGAGACATCACCTGAGTCCGTATATGATGCTTCTGAGGTAAGCTGATGATGTTGGTACGTACCATTCGTGAAAAGAAGTGACTGGATACGAAAAACCGAGATTTTCGGAAATCCTTGCTTTGAGCAAACTTTGGACAAGAAACTATACTATAGTATGTGACTAAGTCAGAAATGACTGAAAACAGTGAAATTCGACTTATCTACCATCAAAAATGAGATTTTACGCTACGACAAAAATCAACAGAACATTGTATAAGGCGAAAGTATAGAAAAACTTCGTCCTTTCGTAAAAATATTATCACCAGTGTATAGCTCAGACATTTTCGAGTATATTTTGTCACAGAACTATCCATCGATTCCATACTTCGGATAGCAGAAAAAGCATTTTTAATACAGTATTTAATTCGAGCAAAAAGAATGAAAGTTTCAGCTCTCATAGTTCAGGAATGGTACATCCGTGTTCAAAAAATACGCACATGCGTCGATTCCTCATCGAATTCAGAACAAGTTTTATATTAGAAGTAGCCTGAAATTCCGTAGTGCGGGTAGCAAAAAAAACTTTTTTTCTCTATTCGTAAAAAAAGCACGTCTATTTGAATAGATGTTCTCAATTAATTTCGCTAAATCAATCATAACTGGGAAAGGAAGTCGCAAGAGCCCAAGCTGTTTCAGCCTTTTTGTTGCACTCATGTGCCTTATCAATCAGCAAAATATGAACTTAAACAGAGTGGGACGCCTAGAAAGGTTCCCTTGTAAGCGTTTGATTTTATATAATATCTGGTGCTTACAACTGCACAATTTTTTCTTTTGTTGTCAGATAATTACAATTGTATTAAGCATGTCGTTGTTTCGTTTCAGTAATGGTTCACGACTAAATTCTTTGACATTAGAGAAATGTTTAATCACACTCAATATTCATAATATGCATTTGTTAACGATGTTTTATCCAATTCAAATTTTGTCTCTTCAACTAAAGTTATTTAGTCATTTATTTTATTTATCTAAATTAATTCCAAATATCAGAGTATTAAACGTTAAATGTAAATGGCTCGATGTGCATTCGACATTCTATATGGACTATGATTTTGAAAACATACCGAATAAAATTTCACGTGTATATAATTTTCAGTTATGCTTAAACCAGATTTTATGGGTTGATGGCTATGATTTCGTAGAGTCATTAATCACGAATCTATTTAAAGAACGAGAGAATCAATGTCGCTTAGGTAAATAAATTGTTGGTAGCCTTATAGAAGATGCGTGCTCATAGGTTTGAAGGAATACTGAGTTTGTTTTAAAGACATACTCTTTACTCTATCCATCTCTAGTTGGATATCTAATGTCGATATTTATTTAATAAAATATTTTCAACACTATTGATCCCGGTGTAAACTAATTTATAATGCGCAATTATCCCGGTTAGTCTCTAGAGAAGAAAGAAAAATCTCTCGCTGTTCGTTGTCACTATTGAGAAAAGTATGTGGACGTGGTTAGAAGTTTCTATGTGTATACTAACATCGACCAGTTATCAACTTTTACAAAGTCCTGTCGTATGTGCCAATAATCGAAGTGAAGAATTGTATGGTTGCTTATCTATCATTTATAAACGTTCACAATATAGACAATACCCATTGTGTAATTATGAATTAAAAACCAAAAAAAAATAAAGCTGCAGGATGGTACACACTATATTAATTAAATTTACATCCACACTATGAACGTTAAAGGTGTGTAGTGAAATCTAGTAAAACCTATGAAAAACGAGTGAGATAGTCTTCACTTTTCTGACTCGAGATTAATCGACATCAATTGTACAGTTGGCCAAAAAGAAATAAACATTCTGGGATCAATTGTGTATGATCAATAAAAAAATTAGCTTACATTCTAACTCATCTGACAAAAATTGTTTAAAATATTTAGTGCTTAATATCAATTATTTATCAACTGTGATTGATGGTTATCGTATTCAAAAATTGATAAAATCTTACTGTAATTGTGAATTTCATTTTTATTTACGTTTTACGGGTACTGATTTAAGTGAAACCATGTTGAAATCTGTAAAACTGTCATTCAAAGACAAATTTTGGCTTGAGCGACAGCAAGAAATTGTTTGTCATCATGACTTCTACGACTATTCCTTCTTCATCCACTCATTACCACTTTTATACGAAACCACCGATTGTTTCTCAAATGGTATTTCCAAAAAATGAACACTTTGCTCTTGACTTCAGGAGTCCAGAAGTCCATAGGAAAAGTCATCAACGTATAGAATAATTTACAATCAGGCCTCAATGGGAAACGATAACTGAGCAAATTTCTTTCAAGTATGATCTTACAATATGATAAGTATTTTCATTTTTTAGGTGTTAAAATAGTGACAATGAATGCATTCAATTACCAACGCTTACTTTCATCTGAAGACTTGGTCCTCATGCATGAAAAATTTCATGCAATTTGTCGTTCAAAGACAAATTTTGGCTTGACGACAGCAAGAAATTGCTTGTCATCATGACTTCTACGGCTATTCCTTCTGGAATAGCTACTTTTGATGATAATATTTCGGATGAGTTATACGATGAATAGGAAACCGACAGTTATTTACCATTGAATATGGATATTATCCTTGAAGATAATGATCTCGACGTAATCAAATTAGCACAACAGCTAAACACGAATCTACACACAACTGACTGGCCTCTATTCGCTGAGAAGCGTAATACACATGAGAATGATATATTTTCGATCAGTTCGTTCCAAAAACATTATACTCATTTTCTTCTTGAACTGCGAGAAGGACACATGTTCCCTCAAAAGATTATTCAATCCATCACCGTGTATTTATCACTTTTGCTCGATGTTATTTACAAAATTGTTGAAAATCAAACAACGAATACAGCAACTCCGAATTCGTGTATATCGCTAAATGATCTTCGTAAACTGATAAGCGATATCACAAAAATAATATCTGAAACAACTAAAAATGAATACCAGTTTCTTAGAAATTGTGAGAAAGATTTCCAGTATCAACCACCACAAGAAATTCGACTAAACGATCAGGGTGATTTCGGATATTATGTGCCGATCAGACAAAGTATTATTAACCTCTTAAGCAAAGCCGACGTCATTGATCTGCTAATTAAAAATTGTAATGAAACTATTTCGCAAAGCAAGAAAGATGAAGATCTTATGTTACCTTATCGCGATGGCTCGGGGGCGAGCATCAACCAGGCGTTAACGCAACACCCGAATTCGTTCCTCCACTTTACACGGACGGAATAGGAATAACGAATCCTATTGGCCCTAAAAAGGACGAGAAAAAATTAACGCTATATTATTTCGTTTTAGAAGATCTTCCGGACGTCGTAAGATCAATGCTTCAGTCTATCGGCCTCGTCGGAATATGTTTAACAAAACTTTTATCCACAGAATTGAATCGTCGCAGTTATTTTGAACCAATTGTTGCAGATCTGAATACACTTCAAACATCGGGAATAAATGTTGGTATATTTGATGGTCGAGTATATTTTTCGTTCATAGTATTAGCAGCTGACCATTTAGCATCGAACGAAGTTGGTGGCTTTCAACGTAACTTTAGTTCAGGATATTTCTGCCGTCTATGTTACATTTCGTTCAGACACAAATTCATTCCTCTGATCGATATTTCTTTCATGCCACGAACAAGAGCAAGCCATCAGCAGAAACTAGAACAACTTATGCAATCAAAAGATAAACCAATAATATCTGGTGTTACAGGCGAAAGTTTTCTGACTAAATTAGTTGGATTTCATCCTGTAAACAGTTTACCATTGACCTGATGCATGACTTTGCGAAAGACAAGAAAAAACAACGCCTTCATTTCTCCAATATACTCGTCTATAACTCAGTATGTAGTGGATAGTGTACGTCACAATGGTGATGTATACTATACAGGAAAATGAGCAACTCCTGCCCCGACAGTTCCAGGTTCACTCTGACCCGGAGTGATAGTACCTCTAAGGGTCCCTTGCCTAGGGTCACAGGTGGTCTTTGGAAGCTGGCAAAGATGACGTTTGAGTTATGCGGAAGAACTGTCATAGTATGGTCAACGGATATCTCAAGCACGCAGATGGCAGATGAAGTCATCTACAGGGTCAATGGCATACTGTAAAACAAAGCTTAGGGAGTGCTATTCCCAAAATGGTCTGTACAGCTGGCGAGGAAAGCAACGGAAAACTACCTCGTCTTTTTTTCCCTAGACAAGGCACATGAATGGCAACAATTAGGAAAACAAACGCTAACGACGTTAACGGGACCTCTGGTTCAACCAGAGATGTCGCGTCCGGCAGTGGAAGTAACAAGGCTTCCAAGGTCGTCATCCGGCGAAACCCTAGCGACACGTTGAAGATCGGTACTTGGAACGTGAGAACAATGTTGAAGAAGGAGAAGACTGAAAATGTTAAGACAGAGATGGCAAAAAATAACCTAAATGTGCTGGGATTAGCAGAAGTGACATGGAAGGAACACGAACTAGTTGCAATAGAAAAAGCCAGTGACTATTTAATAATCATGGGCGATTGGAACGCTGTAATTGGTGAAGGCGTTGATGGAAAGGAAGTTGGCAATTTTGGACTGGGAAAGAGGAATGAAAGAGGAGAGAAACTAGTAGAGTTCTGTAGAGAAAAGAAACTGATGGTGACAAACACCTGGTTTAAGCAAGAAAAGAGAAGGAGGTACACGTGGAAGAGCCCTGGCGGAAAAGATCGGTATCAACTGGATTACATTCTGGTAAATCAAAGATTCAGCAATAGCGTGAAGAAGTCATGTAGTTATCCAGGAGCAGATGTTAACTCAGATCACAATTTGATTATGATGAAAGTAAGAGTAAAATTAAAAGTACTCAAAAACGCCTCGGTCCGTAGAAAATGGAATCTGGAGCAATTGAAGCATGATAGTGGCGGTTTTCGGAATGAGATTGAATGTAGGATGGAGAAGATGAAGGGACGAAAATCGATAAATGAAAGCTGGAATTATCTGAAAGAGAGTATCATAGAAAGTGCAAAAGTAACCATAGGATATGACCATAGGACTAGAATTAAGAAACCATGGATAACCGATGAAATGATTGGAAAAATGGAAGAGAGAAGGAAATGCAAAGGTATTAATACTGAAGATGGAAGAAAAATGTATCGAAAATTGAATAATGAGCTCCAGAGGATTACTGACAAGGCAAGTGAGGATTGGTGGAAAAGGGAGTGCAATGAGCATGAGTTGCTTAACAAACAGGGCAAAGCAGACTTAGTATATTCGATGGTAAAGAATAAAGATGGCACGCTACTAACAGATCCGAAGTTAGTGAGACAAAGATGGAAAGAGTATATTGAAGAGCTGTACGACAAAGATGGTAAGCCCACGAAGGAAGAGATAGATTTAGAAAGCGAAATGGATGTGGAAGTAGATAACATAGGCCCTGGAATTCTGGAAGACGAAATTGAAGCAGCGATAAGACAAATGAAAGACAAGAAAGCAGAATGAATTGATGAAATACCGGCAGAGCTGTTGAAGAAACTTGAAGGTAGTGCTAAAAAGGAATTGATACGAATATGTCAGGATATGTATGAAAATGGAGAATGGCCAAAAGATTTCACCAAAGCAATAATTGTCACGATGGAGAAAAAGCCAAATACAACAGAATGTGCTGATCACAGAACGCTTAGTATGATTCCGCATGCTTCGAAGATAATGCTGAAAGTGTTGACAAAAAGATTGGAAGCTAAAACACAATATTTCATTGGTAAAGCACAGTTTGGTTTCAGAAGAGGATGCGGAACGAAAGAGGCAATCGGCGTCATGCGAATGGTCTACGAAAGATGCTTGGAACACGGCTTGGATGTTTTTATCTGTTTCGTGGACTTTGAGAAAGCCTTTGATAGAGTAAACTGGAAGAAACTGATGGAAATATTGAAGAAGATTGGAGTTGATTGGAAAGATCGAAGGCTCATCAAGAATTTGAAAGCGGCCACAAGGAAGAAAAAGAAAAATGATGCTTGATGATTTGAAAGAAGGAGACATAAATGCCTACAAAGTGATGAAAGAATATGCTCAAGATCGATTATATTGGAGAAATTATATGCCTGAAACCTGCCCTAGGGCAGAAAACCAATGATGAACTCAATATATTGACTCAGTACGAATAGAAATTTTGTAAATTGGCGAAGTACTTGTATTACATATATAGATAATGTGACTTGAAAACTAAAATGTAAATAAGCCGACAGTCGATATATCGAGATAGATGGAATATGATAATGGGTTATCTACTTGTATCCGTCTATATCTAGCTACATCGACTTAGATCCTATTGTAGATTCATTTAGCAATTTTTTAATCTCTCAGAACGAATACAATAGGTAATAATGATCGAAAGACTGACAGACATTTTCTAAGTTATAAAATAAATTTCGATGATTTAATTGTATATCTGAGTTCGTTCTCTCTCTCTCGTCTTCTAAGGTACACTCTACAATAAATATTCCAACAACTGACACCAGTGCATACATACATACTCAATAAATGCCGATTCATTTTCTACTAGGAATGTGCGGCTTCAATTCAACTCAGTACGGTACTTGTACTATTCATTACTGCATTGAAACTGATTTAGTCTGCAACTAGTTTTATATTACCGTTGTTGTCACTTAACTCACTAATAATCAGGCTATTCCACCATTATAGTTAGGATTTAGAAAAATTAATGCTTATTTAACTTGATTGAAGGATTTTCCAAACAGTATAGACAGTCGACATTGATCCTACTTTACTGAGGTGAGCAAGGTTGAGTCTGCTTGTGTGTGAAATAGGGAGAACAATGTTGAACATAGGAATATTTATGCGCCAAATGAGCTCAGTTTATGGGGTACCATCAATAAAATTAAAAAAGAAAATAAATAAAACGGCTCCTTATACCTCTAGAAAATTAATTTTCCTTCAAAAAGCTTAGTTTCGACATAAATGGAGAATCATATCGCCCAGAATATCTTCTATTAAAATCTCTTTTTTTATCTACTTATTTGAAAGTATGATTCTGGAGATATCTGCAATTTTACTATTTGTTTAAAGGTTTCAGATCCTAGAACGAGTACTCAAGTCCTTTAGCGGCTTAGAATCTGAAAGAGCGAGTTATTTAATTATAACAGATACATTTTTATATTTATCAGACCGATTTTTATACAAACAATCACCTATTTACAAACGTCGGACGAATAGAGATCGGTTCTCGGTTATTTCAACGTTCTTAACGGGCACCAATATGATAACTGTCGATTTGAAGGACCACATGTCTTATCAAAGAAACTTTAGAACAAAAAATTTCTCAACCTGGAAAAACAAAACAGGTATCAGTAAAAAAATGACCGATTCGGGGATGCTCATCATAGCAAACTAGTTATAAAAATGTGCTTTTTAAAAAATTAGCGCATTTTTTCAAGATCGATTCTGAAAGTAGACACCGAGAGCGGTATATCATATACATAAACTTCATATCGCAACTTTTACAGAAAGTTCAAATTTTGAACAGGAGGTCCTAGTTCTTCGTAAGTTTTTATGGAAAGATACTTAGACACACGGGATGTTTGGACTATAACCCTCAGTGGAAGAACTAAACGGCTTGTCCAAGTGTTACGCAGTAACATTTCTGACACGATAATTCACGGTTTTTTCGAGAAGTTTAAGAGTTGGAGAGTTGGTTCTTGCGCCATTCCATGCAGTAACATTTGCTCTACGTATGCTGAAAAAATAAAAAAAATTTGGTTGAGCTTGACGGCTTAGAGACGAATTCTATAACGCGTCACGCAATAACAAAAAAAGGCTCCATAATTTTTGGAGGACAGAACAAATTGCGATTTGCTCGGTGATCTAAGACACTCTGGAAATTTTGAGTGGGACAAGAGTTGTAGAGCGGACAACGGCTTACACGTTGGTAAAAAGGTTTTTCTCCTAACTATTTTTTGCGCGCCTGAAACAGGGTTTTATTCCGTTACGCAGTAACATTTTTTTTTTCTCATTTTTGATCATCTTTTCTCATCTCGTTTTGCAGCACTAAACCTTGTTCAAAAAATTGAATTTTTGTACAGATAGATAGATTTCTGCGTACTCTTTCCAATACACTATAGAAAATTGTTGGAAAACGATTTTAACACTGCAAATCATTAATTTCAAAAATTGCACTCTTGAATATTTCCAAAAACTTTAACTCTTTTCAAAAAATTGAATTTTTGTCTAGAGCCTCAAAACTCAAAAACCGAGTAAGCCATTTTGTAGAGAATTGAATTCTCTATCTGATGGTGTATATTTCAATTTTTGTCAAGAAAGTGTCTAGGTGAGGAAATTGAAAATAAACTTTTTAAAAAATTTCTATCTCAACTTTTTAAATGAACACTCCACTTTTTTTTGAAAAAAATGTCAGATTCGTAATCAGTGTGCAAAACTGCGTCTAGTGATGTTCCTGTTCGGCTCTCATAAGCGCTTTTACGTCGTCTGCGCCTCTTAACCATAGGTCATGTTAAAGGAAAATTTTCTGGGGCTATGACAGATGACGTAAAACTTGGACGAGCAGTAACCGATTCTTTGGTCTATCAACGACAAAAAAGTAACCAAGCTGATGAACATAGCTAAACAAAACAAAAGAATAATCTAACATCAACGAATGATGAGCAAAAGTAGCACCAGCTGAAAGTATAAATGAACAAACTAGATTTGAAGTATAAAACGAAAATCAAATCATTGCTTACAAGCTTCTAAAATTAATTTCAATATCGTCCATGTGTTGATATTATTTTTA